AGAATCCTCCAGCCAGCCTGACCCCTAGTTGTAAATTCAGGAGCATTTGAAGATGCAATGTCTCTTGGAAAGACCCTGTCTGAAATCCTAGGGAGCTGCTGGCAGTTAGTATAGATGTAACTGAACTAGGGAATCCAGTGGTCTCATGATCTAAAGCAGCTTCTTAAGTACATTGAGGGCCAGTGTGGTGTTATGGTTGAGCATTGGACTAGGACACTGGGAGACCAGAGCTTGAATCTTGACTCGACCATGTAAACTCACTGGGTGGCTTTGGGCAAGTCATACACTCTTAGCCTCAGAGGATGGCAATGGCAAACTTTTGAACAAATCTTGCCAAGAAAACCCCATGATAGGGTTGCCATAAATTGGAAATGATGAATGCAAACAACAACAAGAAGATATATGCTACTGCATTATTGGTAAAAGAAACCTAAATTACAGGTGTCTTTATTAATATGCCTGCAGGTTAAATTTAGATGAGCAAAAGAGAGGCTGAGGACTGATAAGTAGCAAAGAGAACAGAAACAGTTGTGAACTACATCAAAGCCAGAGTGGGAATCCTTTTGAAAGACACTTCAGCACCCATAAGTGCCACCCAGCATGGCCAATGGCTATGAGAAGTGAAGTCCAAAACATTTGGGTCTTATTTTTGTTTGTAGATTCCTTGCTTCTGTGATTTCTGCTGCTGTAAGTTCTGTTTCGCCGTCTTCCCTGAGCCTCTGTTCAGTAGAAAGAGACAAGGGAAGGATGCAGACCCCATTTGGAAAAGTAGCCAGTCTTGCAGTGCAGTATTGTAACGGTGGGATTGCCTTCTTTAGATGTGGAAGATGGATGCCAACATAGCTATAAAATGGAGGCAGACAGATTGACAGAGGATAAGGTTATCAGTGGCTGCTAAGCATTATGACTGAATGCTACTTCCAGGATCAGAGGGAGCTGTGCAATTTCTGGGGAACAGGAGCAAGAGACAGCTGTTGCCCTGAAATACTTCTGCTTGTGCACTTTCTATGGGCATCTGGTTGACAGCTGTGAGAAACTGGATGTCTGTCTAGATTGCCCCTTAGTCTGATACAGCCAGGGACTATGTATAATCTCAATGGTGTGCATCTGCTCATGATCCACTTGGCTTTCTTCCATCTCCTCAGTTTCCTTGAGGCCAAAAGATGGGAAGGGGGATTGAGATGGAGTGGATTTTCTTGCTCTTAGCAAGAGAAATGGAAACCAGAGGTGATGAAGCTTGTGTGGTTCATAGCAACCATGCAAGCAAAGAAAAGGAGAGGAGAGGCAGCAAAATGAACGAAAATGAGAGTATAAGTGGCTTCTTGCAGAGTGAACTTGCAGTATGCATTGCTTGTGATGTATTACCTTGACATTTGTAGGTAAATGCATAGAGTGAGTCCATTGATTTCACAGGAACTTGTATAAATACATTCCATCTTGTATGTCTGTAAGCCAGCATGGTTTGAGCATTGGCCTGTGACTGGAGAAAAGGGTTTGAATCCCCACTCAGCCATGAAACTGAATGGGTGAGTGACCTTGGGCAAGTCACACTTTCTTAGCCTCAGAGAAAGGCAAAGACAAACCCCCTTTGAACAAATCTTGCCAAGAAGGCCCTGTTATGGGTTCACCTTAGAGTCACTGTAAGTCAGAAAGGGCTTGAAGGCACACAACAACACTTTTTAAATTCTTTTATACTTGGATTGGTTAAAGACTTCAATACCATACATGGGGTAGTCCATTTATCTATGGTAGCAGGTCCTTGTCACCTCCCAGCCACTGTTTGCTAAATGACCACTGTTAAGATCATCATTGATGGTGTTACATTTCAGTTCCTGCACACTCTGTCCTATACATATACGTATACATATCTGCCACCTATCCTTTCATCTGATAAAGTACATAGTTCATAAAAGCTTTTGCAAAATAAAACTTGCTAGTTTATAAGTTGGCATGAAAAATCTTGATTGTTTTTAATAAATATATTTTGCCTGGTAGAGTGGTAAGACTTAATTGGAAGTTCACAGTAAGTTCAACGGGATTTATTCCTTAGTAAAACAAAAAGTCTTATGGCATATTTACAACTAGCAGTTTATTGTGTCATGAGCTTTCATGGATTACCACTAAACTTCCTCACAGGCATGGAGTACAATAGTTAACCCACACCATAGTAAGTGTGCTTAATCAACTAACTACCCTGGAGGCACTAGATCTCATCTGATCTTAGAAGCTAGGTGGGGTCAGCCCTAGTTAGTACTTGGATAGGAGACTGCCAAGGAATACAAAGTGCTGTAGGCTATATTTTACAGGATGGCAATGGAGAATGGTTCCCAATTGGCAAAGGAGTCAGACAAAGCTGCATCCTATCTCCCTACCTATTCAATTTATATGCAGAACATATTGTAAGGAAATCAGGC